GCCGATACGACACTCGATACGCTTGAAGAGCCTGCACATGCGACGGACTGGGGGTGTGTAGCGATTATCCTTTTTTCAAAGATATGGTACCGAGGTAGACACACAAAACTCACATACTCGTCGAGATCGACAAGCGTTTGCATGCTTACCCAGGTGCGAGATTCAAACGAGGACGAATGTACATATGGAGCGGGGACAGCATACCCCCATCAGGAGCGCGTACTGCGCTATGCGCTGAGTGTGCTGGACATGCCTCGCGCGCGCAAGTGGGGGGAGAAACGTCGCATGTCTCTGCACCGTTGTCTGTTCGTGGCACTTAAGGACCTCATGAGCGCAAGCCGTGATTTCGGTCTGTCATAGAGTCGCCCCCGCGCGGCCAGCTAGGCTCACAGGACTTAGCGGGGCGCCCTGGCAACCTTCCAGGGGCTGCTCTTGTAGTGCGTAATGGGCCGAGTGTGATGGACATGCATCGCGCGCGCGAGTGAGCAGAATATCAGACACATGCACGCGCCGCAGGGCAGCATCTGCGCTCAGCCTGCGCCAGTCTGATAGCACTCCCATGTCATACGCTCTCCCTACTTTGTTTTCACGGCACGCGACGAAGCAAACGTTTTTTGTGTGAGGAATCTCTACTGGGCTACGTCGCTCAGCTGCCCATCCGATAGGGCCGACGCGGGGCGCGTGGCTATGTATTTGCGGCCTGTACAGTCTCAAACTCCCTCGAGGGCCTTGGTCTTGCGCACCTTGCCGCGTTGATCCGCGCCAGCGGCGCGCGCATTCTCGAACGCAGCCCCCTGCCTCTTCACGGGCTTCTTCGAACGACCTGCTCGGACACCGAACCAGTCTCGCCCGGCTCTTTCCGCTTCCTGGTACGCGCGGAGGCTCTCTCCCCCACGCGCGGTGGGCAGCCCAGCATCGACTCCCGCCATGAAGCCGCTCAAGCGTTCCTGCCGCTGGCTGCGACCGAAGCGCTGCACGTAGGAGAAGGCCAGGTCGGCAGCGGCGATGCAGAGGAGCGCGGAGTCGAGCACGACTGGCAGACGGCCGATGAAGCCCAGCGCGACGCAGCGGGCACCTCCCCAGCTCCTCTTGCCAGCCACTCCTTGGGCACAGTGCGTCTTGGTCACGAAGTTCAAGAGTCGACTAAAGAAGTCTGTGCGTTGCCCTTCTCCCAGGAAGAGAACCATTGCCATGTTGCAGGCAGACCCTCCGTCCCATGCACTGGCGCCGTAGTTGGTGGCGCGGGAGACGTTAATGTTGTCCTCCAAGAGCTGCTTGCATTGCTCCAGATCCTGCTGCTGCAGCTTCCGGTCGAGGAGGCGCTGGGCATTGGCCTGCTCTCCTGCGAAGGCGCCCGACTCGCTGGTGGTGCGAGCGCGGATTTTCAAGAGCCTGTCGAGCTGGCGCTGCTGCTCTGGCGTCAAATGCTTCGTGGCGGCGCGCAGCATGTCTGCCGCGCCGCCGACAGCGAGGCCGAGCTTCAAAGCATTTTCCTCGCACTGCCCCTGGGCGCCGCGCGCATCGCTGGTGACGGCCAAGCCGTAGAGACGGCCCTCCACGTTCACCACGGTGCAGCTCTGGCACATGGTCTTGGTGGCTCCATCTCGGCCCAGCCTTTTGCGAGTCACGGGCGTCTCCGCCGACCACCTCTGCACCATGTCCTTCGGCGCCACGGCAATGGCTGCATGCGCAGTGGGGGGCGCGCCGCCTTCCATCAGCTGCGCGCCCTGGCTGCCAGCGCTGCCACTGGGCACGAGGGACGAGAGAGGCATGCCGCCAGAGCCTTCTGACCCCTCGTCGTCGGAGGTCGCCTTGACCGGCAATTCTTTGACACACTGGGCTTTGACAGCAATACGTGCGCTGTCTGCCAGCTCCACCTCGATGCGTTCACCGAGGACTCGTGTCATGGCCACAACGGCACCGTTCAACTCGGCGCGCTGCACGAGGCCTTGGAGCACAAGCACCATGCTGTTAAAGCCTCTATGCACGGGTGATGACCAGTCAGCGAGCTGAAGCGGGGGAGCTTGAGAGAACACGGCTCTTCGCTCAGATGGCGGCTCAGCTATGTATGTTTGAAACAGAGCCAGACGAAGGCTCCGCGACGCTGAACGCACTAAGTGGGCTTTGTCTGTCGCCATGCATGCGCGCCGCGACGGACACCTGGCGCAGGGGCGCGCGCTGTAGCACGTCGGGGGGCACCTCTGGGAACCGCTCCTTCAGCAACGCCAGGCGTTTCGCTGTGTAGCGGCGGCGCTCGTTCTTTGCGCGCTTCCGGCGCTGCTGCTCCGTGCGCGGCGCCATGGTAAGGAGCGCACAGCGCCTTTGCTGCTGGCAGCGACGACTTGGTGCGTGCTCTGGCCGCGAAGAGGCCTCCTGCCTGCCGCCGTAGTGCATAGCTTCGCGCGCGCGAATGAGCAAAACGATCACACACACACACAGCGCCATTCATGTCATACGCGCTCCTTACTTTTTACGGCACGCGACGAATCGGGCGTTTCTGTAAGGAGTCTCTACCTAGGGCGCGTCTCACGAGCGCTTCGGGCTGCGACTGCGGCACCGCTCTGCTGCAGCGCCCGCGTTGGCAAAGTGGCGGGCATACTTCTGAAAATCGTGGCACCTCGGCTGCTGGAACGACGAGGCGCGGGGGTACTTCGCGCGGATGTGGGCGATGAAATCCTCCTCGTCGAATGCGAGGCCGTGCTGCTGGCGGTCAACCGCCCACCGCTGGACCGTCATGGAGTAATTCGGGTAGTCAGCGCGTTTCGCGCAGTAGCTGGAGCGCTCCGCGCGGCGGCTCCAGCAGCGCGCCTTCGGATCACAGTCGATCGTGGACTGGCACCGCACATGCTCAGCGGCGTGGCGGGGGCAACGAGTCCTGGGGTGGTCGCACGCGTCGCCGCCTCCCCTTGGCACCACGTTGCAGCGGCCGCGGTCAGCGATGCAAGACGCGTCGTCCTCCGCTCGCATGGCGCACAATTCACGTTCCTGGTGCCAGGCGGCCGTGCGGATGCTGCACTGGCCCCAGGGCTTCTGACAGGTGCCTCCTCCTGCCTCTGGTACTCCGCAGACGCCGCGCTCTATAATGGTGGAACGGCTGTCCTCGCATGCCATGAGTTCCTCTTCGCGCCTGCTGTGAGCACCGCAACTTCCAGCGCTGTTGTTGCAAACTTTTCCGTCGGAGCAGGCATGGCCACAGAGGCCCCACAGGGTCAGAGGTGCCCAATGGGAGAACTCCTCGGCGCCCTTGCCTTTAGCACGAAACACCTCGACAGCGTCCGTGTGCCGGAGCCTCGCGTCGATGGCTGTCTCCTTGGGCGGCCGAGACGTCCTGGCAGCGCTGGAGGCGCGCAGTAAAGCAGCATCTTCCGCGGGGGTCATGCGATGGCTCTCAGTGGTGGCCGTCGAGCCAGTCGTCGGGCTGGGCTGGCAGTCGCGCTGCTCGTCGGGCGAGTCGCGCCGCTGGTGGTGGAGCAGGTGGCGCTCTGCAGGTCGACGAGGTCCAAGTTGCTAGCGCCTGGCGGCTTTGCTGAGCCTGCGTCGGCGCTCGGCGAACCGTCTCGGCGAACCGCATCGGCAGCTGACCCGGAGGCCGTTGCCGCCGCGACGGCTGCAGGCTTGTCGGCGGCACCCTTCCGCCGCCTCTTCGGCAGGGGCGGCACGAGCAGGGCGGCGTGGACAGGAGGCTCCCACTCGGTCATCGGGCGCTGATGGCGCAGAGCTTCCATCCAGGCACCGAGGGTCGCGTAGTCAAGCAGCTGCGGCTCGCTGCCAGCGCTGCTGCCAGCGTCTCCTGGGCGCCCCGCGCTGCTCTGGACGTTGCGCTGCCCAGTGCCGGCGGCGCTGCACAGGCTCTGAGCTAACTGATACTTGGCCTTCTCAGGAACCGAAGCGCCCGCGGCATTCACGCGCATGGGAGGGTTCAGGTTCGCCGCTTTGTGGAGAGAGAGCAGCTGGGCAGCCGTGAGCCCACCGCGCTCGAGGTTCGTGCGGATGGCCGCGTGGTCCACGTGGAAGGTCGTGCTTCCCGAGGCAGCAGCGGCCCGAAGCTGCAGCTTCTGCGCGCGCGCCATGAGCTCCAGGTCGCCCTCCTGACTTTTCGGGGGCGCCTTCTCATGATAGACCAGGACCCTGTCCAGTTTCTGCTCCATGTCGTCCACGCGGGCGTGGATGCCCTCTTCGACCCCCGCCAGCTGCACGCGTGTTTGGTTTCCGTCCTCGCCGACTGCGTGAGCGATTGCAGCTTCGAGGGCGAGCTGCTCTGGGGGCACTGTGGCCCTGGGTTTATTCCAAAACTTGACTTTGCTGCCAGTGCCGTCTTCGTACCGCGCAGCCTCGGAGGCGAGTACTTCGGCCTCGGTGGCGAATTCGCGCAGTTGACCCGCCTCCGTGTAGTCGCATTCACGGAAAGCGGAAGCGCGCACGAGTTTGTCTGCAGCGTTGCGCCCGTACTTCTGAAGGGCGCGGCGCTGGCGAAACTGCTCCGCTGTGAGCACCATGGCGAGCGGTGGGCGAGGGTAGAGATCGAATGCAAAAGGGACGTCTGCTTTGAGATACATGTGCGTAAGACATCTGACATGAGGAACATGTAATACACCGAAACGTACATCGAAAAAACACATCGCCACCCCATCGCTATTTACATCGCAGCTTACATCGCAACCTACATCGCAACCTACATCGCAACCTACATCGCAACCACATCGCAACCACATCGCAACCACATCGCAAACACCTCATAAACCGAAACCAGCTGGATAAACCAAGCCCAACCGCCATCTCTCTTGCCATCTTGCGCCTAGTGGCCGAGACTGCGTAACAGAAATGCGAACTGGGATCATATATCTATGTGCGTGACGGCCGCGGATGGCAACTTTCCAGCAACGCTCGGATTCGTGGTTCTATGTGCGTGCGGAGTTACACTCTACTACGGCCTTTCAGATGGGCGCCGGTCCCTCGCGAACTGGTGCACCGCTCCGGGCTCGCCATGGAAGGCGCGAAAGTCATGCCTCGCGCAACCGCTTCATCACATAGAGTTGTTCTGCGATTTCTTTCTTGCGCTTGTCCTGGCGAGAAGCAATGATGACCGCGGATCTGCTGCATCTAGTGCACCTTGTGATGTAGTGTACTGCCCCATAGACACGATACCGGAGACCCAGGCATGGTCGGCACGCTCAAGGGCGTCGTCTCGGCCACACTGCGGGCACATGAGAATGCGACCGTCATTGGCGCAAGCAGCGCAAAACACCATGCCTGCGGCAGCCTCTGGGACGGCTGCTTGATCCCCGCCCTGCTCGTCATAGACCCATGTTACGCAGATCTCAGAAGCGGCTACTGGATCTCGGGCAGGCCTGTTGCATTTGTGACAGATCCGCGCCGTCACCTCCAGCGCCAGAGCCAACCTCAGTTGCTCGGGCACGGTGAGCTTCTTCGGATACGTCTCCGCAGTCGGGTTCACCTTCTTGACCGCCTCTACACAACGCCCTAGGAACTCCCTTCGACTGCGCGCCTGCGCTGGAATGATGGCCGGCAAGCACCCGTCCTTTGCCAGAGCCATGGCGCACCGGACAGCTGCGACCAAGTCTGGATTGCTGGTAAGGCGTTTGCAGAGTAGGTTGATGCGCCGCTCGGGCTTGTAGCAGCGCACAAAGGTGAGGTTGGCCCCCCCAGCGCTTGCTACTACGGTGCTGGCCTTTTCGCGGGCTAGCACGGACCAGGCCTGCCGCATCTCAAGGGTTGCCAGATCCTGGGTAGCGGCGGCGTTTGCGTCCTCGACCTCTTGTTCGGCAGCCAGTGTCTCTTTCATGCACCCCTCGCAGTGCACGGCGCGGCAAGTGGACTGACAACTGAAGATCTGAGCTTGTTCACCACTACGTCCACACTTGCTGCAATCAAATGCCTTCCAAGCATCGTTCGTCCCTGAGATGAAGCGATGGACACAGACGGTAGCTGCCATCATCTCTGCGCGCTGCTCCCCGACGACCGCCTTGAGCGCCGAGTGCGCCTCGCTGCCGTGGCATTGCATCTCCAAGGTAGAGCTGGCAGGAGCTGCAAAGTCTTGCAAGGACATAGGAGGGACCGCGCCACTCGCCTGTCTCTGCGCCACTTGCTCTTCGTGGCCGTCCCTCTCCGACTCGGAATCAGAAGACTGCTCGGCTAGGAGTTCGGCCAGTGTCCGAGGTTCTGCTGGCGCCGGTGCAGGCTTCGGCTTCTTCTTCTGTTTCTCCGGCGCCAGGCCCCGGGGCCGGCATTCGATGATGGCGGTCATCTCTTTCATCATCCGCACACACGTGTCGTCGTCCGCGGGCACGCCTTGCTCGAAAAACTTCGTCATCAGACGCATGTTTGCGGACAGCGCCGTCCGCGCGGACCCCACAGCGACAGCCGAAAGATGGCCTTCCATGGCAAGCGGTTGCCTTAGAGGCGCGCTATTTTCTTCAGGCCTGATTATGGCCCAAGGTAATCTGCCGCAACAATACGCGCACATTGGTCCGCAATGTGGGTGAGACATGCCCCGAGCCTCAAGCACATGCAACCTCGGCGCTTTTCTGGTGAGCAAAACTGCAGCAAGTGACATGGAGTCGCACGGCATCGACAACATGTCTTGCCACATCGACATCCTGTCCTCAGTAAAACGTTAACCATGCTCACATCCAAGGCCTTTCGCTGCACATTCCCCGTGATCCGCGACGACCAGCTGAATAACCTGCGCCGTTGGGCCGACCTCCACTGCGCCCAGTCGATCGTTTTCCGTGACGACCGTGGCAGTGCCGTGTTCGTCGGACTCAAGGCCCAGCTTCGCACTTGCGCCAGCTTCTCGCGCACTGTCCGTACTGCTCTGCGCCGCCTCTGCATCGATGTCGCGCTACGGGGGCGCTGGTGCACCCTCATCACGCCCCGCGAGGCGCTGACTATCTGCGCAAGCGATTGCGCCTCTCGCGCAGCAACACTTCCACCAGCAGGCGACGCGGTCGACGCTGGCGCGCGACAGCGTATTGCCTCGGCGCACGCAGACGACAGCGATGTCCGCGTCGTTGCGCCCATTGGTTGAACACACACTCCCTTCACGGCTTCTTAAAGACCAACCCTTTGACATCCATTTTCAGTGCAGCGTTGTTTTCAAGGTATAGACCATGTTCTCGACCAAACAAAAGGAAGACTTGCAATGCGCCGCTCACTGCGCACAACTGGCTCTCCTTGAACTCGTCGAGGATTTTTTCGAATGGCAGGTGTCTGCGCCGTCAAAAACATCCAAACGCCTTCTGTGAGGGCGTCCATTATTGCTTTGTGCTCCACAGCGCTGATATCACGACGTCGACGTCGAATGCGCCTGGACACTGTTCGAGAGGAATGTCTTGCTTGGCCAAGCACTGCGCAGACCCAGCGCCCGATGGACACACAGCGCCGCGGAGATTTCCAAACCACAGGGCTCAAGGCGGTTTTCCCCCTGGTCGTGTGTGCCAATTTCTCAGAAGTGCCAGAATGCCACACGCCGCTTGAGAAAATACCACAAGTGGTCTGAGAGGCCCGCGGAAAAGTCATTTCCAAAGCAATGCGCAAAAAAAATGCCCAGCTTGGCGCCAGGGCTTGGTGAAAAACCCACACGGTGGCCGACTTTCTGAAGGATTTTGGTGCCACGGCTTGAAAATCTCACACGGGCGGGCCGCCAGCATTCGGGAAAAAAACAACAACCCCAAGCGCGGTTGGAAATATGTGACAAGCGCTGGGCAAGGTGAACATCTTGCACGGATAAGCAGCCTGAACTCGAGAAAAATCAAAAACTCTGCTCGCCATCCTTCGGGAAAAATCAACAGCTTCAGGCGTGGTGGAAAATGTCTGGATAGGCGCCAACGCTTTGTCAAATTCCACACGTACATCGCCAACCTTCGGGAAACGTAAGCATTCTGCTCGCCAACCTTCGGGGAATGTCTCCAATTGTAGGCGCGGGTAAAAAAATGTTGGATCGGTGTCTGGAAATCCTGAAAACTCCACACGTACACCGCAAGCCTTTGGGAAAACTCAACTCTGCGCGTAAACACAGATGTACACAAGTTATTCTAACATTAAAATTCAGGATTTTTTTTTTTTATTTTTTTTTATTTTTTTTATTTTTTTTATTTTTTTTTTATTTTTTTTTTTACCAGCCTCGTTATCGCGCGCAATCTCACCACCAGTGAAACGATGTCCTGCCTGGGTGCTCAACTGCTGCTGCGAAAACCACCGCAGGGAGCGTTCAGACAGCGTGACCTTAAAAAGAGAGAGAAGGAAAGGGGGGAGGAAGGGAGGAGAGGGGACGGAGAGGGAGCACCGTTAAGAAGTACTATTGTTTCTTCGACTAGCCGCGCCAGTCGCGCATGTTGCGTAGACAATGGTTGTGAAGAGGATGGCGCCAAGAAAACGTGGAAGCCCACGAACCATGGCCCGCAACAACCCGACATCGCAACAGCGCAGACATTCGACTTTGAAACTCTTTCGTACTGTTGGCAGCGACGACAAAGTCCGGCAGTATGTTATATAGACGTACCGCGCCAAGCGCGGACTGCGTGACGAACTGCTGGGCGCGCAAAGAGCACGGATCAACAAGATGGCGGCGATGCCGGCGAGGAGCCCGAGGAGGAGGAGGGGAGGAGTCGATACGAAATAAAGAATGAAACATTGAGGGGCCACGCCGAATTGCAGACCTATGAAGCACGCCCAAGATAGCAATATCTCTCCGGGTGTTCAACGGTGCTAAATTGAAGTGCTCACAAGCGTCCTCGGCCGAAAGGCCAACGGCGCGCAGAAACCTGTCTTGAACGGCATCTAGCACATGGAGTGCACTACACGATGCGTGCGCGATCGCAGGCGTGCGGTATTCAGCGTATGACAACACATGACTTTTGTACAAGAGCACCATTTCCGAGAGTGTATGGAAACGCTTCGTGCGCAAAAGACACATAACACGCGTGTGACAAGTCGCTGCACATTCGTCGATGGCTGCGTGCATTCGAAGCTGGCAATCAAATGCTACACCGAGGTATCTAAATGAGTCGCCGCGCGGCTGCCTATGGCTTAAAATGTGGTGGCTTTCCTTACCAGCGTCGAAAACAACTGAATTAGCGAGACCCCAAGTGTGCAGAATGGATTGACACTCCCGGAGGTTCGTGAGGATACTCGCCGTACTAACGGAAGCACCGTACTTTTTCAGCGCATTGAAATCGTCAGCGTAAACAATTTCTTCAAAATTGAGCCCTCGTACTGCATCAGACGCATCTCGGAAGAAAATGTTCCAAAGTGGAGGGCCCCAAACCGTGCCCTGGAACACCATGTTCAACATTTCGAACAGTTCCGAGTGGGCTCCGCCGACCACGACATTCGCAGAGCGAGGCTCAAGCCAACTCTGAATTACTCGGAAGATGCTGCGAGAAATCGGAGCGGCAGCCAACTTCTGTAACAAGCGCTCGGCCCGCACTCGATCGAAAGCTCCGGAAACGTCAGAACAGTACAGCCCTACGCGGCCACCCTCCCCGAAAGCCTGAATTGAAAACAATACAAGCCATAGCAGCGCGTCTCTAGCGCCCCGGCCCGGCGTGTAAGCAAATTGAAACATGCCGAAACAGCCTTCGGACACTGCTCTAGGAATAAACTGTTCGCCGAGAAATCGTTCCATGGCTTTCGAAAGTTGGGGGGTAAGATGGATACCACGATAGTGGTCCGCATTGTGCTTAGAATGCCTCTTGTGTAGAGGGTGGATCCAATGCGAAGTCCACACACGAGGCCACTCGCCACGATTCAAAATGAGCCTCGCGAGTTTGGTAAATGGTATTGTGAGCTCACGTGCGCAAATCTTCAACACCCTGGCAGGGAGGAGGTCAGGTCCGGTCCCGCTGTCAACGCGCAAAGATGATAACACTCGAAATGCCGAGCGCGCCCGGAGAGGCACGAAAGAGTCAGAGAGGCGACAAGGAGGGAGCATACTGAACTCATTGCGCACTGGAGCAGGCAAAAACCACTTCGATGAGAAGACTTGTGCAAACAAGTTAGCCTTGCCAGGAGCGTCCATGACCCACTGGCCAGCGGAATCTTTCAAAGGAGGGGAGGTAGGAAGACAACGTCGAGAGACTAACTCGCGTGATAAATGCCACCACTGCTTCGAACCCTTCCGCAATGAACGCAATTTGGCACGAACGCGAACCGTGTACCTGCTATAAGCGGAGACCAACCCATCGCTGCAAGCCCGCACTGCCAATGGAAACTCGGGCGTCCCTGCTGCAGACACCTTCGCAGAGACAAGTGCGAGAGATGCAGAATCCAGCCACGGATGCGAAGCAGAGAAGTTCAAAACGCGTTTAGGGATGAAATCGTGCATACGCTGAGCTAGGAAGACAGTAAGACGGTGAGCAGCTTCATTAGGCGTGCAAGCGTCGATCCAACTCCAATCGGAACGACGAATGGACGACCGAATGGCAGCCCAGTTGGCAAACTTATAGTTCCAAACTGTCCTAGAGAAATCCTCAACGGCCAAAGGCGGCAGAACTATGCGAGCTAAGACCGCGCTGTGGTCTGCGATCTGTGCCAAGACATCTGCAGACACTTGCTCGGGCAAATCAGTCAAAACTAAATCTAACAAGTGCCGCTGGCGCGTGGGTTTGCGGACTCTCTCGAAGAAACCATGGGAAATGCACCACGCTTTGAGAAATGAGCCCTCCGGAGAGTTACGAGTCGAATAATACAGCCAATCTTTCTGATGCACGTTAAAATCACCTACAAAAACAGAACCAACCGCGTGCTGGAGTGCGAGGCCCACTCTTCCGTCAAACAGCGAAGGCTGCCTAATTCGGCGTGGCATGGAGGACGATAGAAACAAGACATCAAGATAGGGCCACAATCAGAATGTAACAAAACCCAAATCAACTCAGCAGAAATCGAGTTCTCGAGTGGTGAGAACAAGTGAGCACACGCAGTGAGAACAAATATCAACACACCACCGCCGAGACCATTCCTGTCACGCCTAGCAATAACGGTGTAGAGAGACAAGGAGGGAGCAGGAGAAGAGGCATCAAGCCAAGTTTCCGTAAGGAAAACGCAAACGGGCAAATTCGGAAGAAGACGAAGACGACCCTCGAGCTCAGCCTGGTGCTTCGGGGTCAGACTCTGGATATTAACATGGAAGATGGTGAGATCAGCAACTGCGAGAGACAGTGAGGTGCCGGATTCACGCGGCACCCTGTCTCGAGGCGTATCTTGCGAAGAACTGTTAAAATAATGATGCAAATTACGCTGAGCACTGCAATTGGAATTACAACCGGCATTCGAGAAGGAGGAAGGAGCAGGAACGGGAGGAAGGGGAACCGAGGTGGGAGG